TTGATGTAGCTTCCCATTAGAACCTAAGATAAATGAAATTAACACATGGGACTCACTTCAAATGGTATTGACAAGGGCACAGAGTTATTTTTCAGTCATGAATTCAAATGTCTCTAAAGAACTAGTTGAACCAAGAATGGAAATCTTGATCTCCACTCCCAAAGCATGCAATATAAGTAATAAAAAAGATAAACTATCAATAGGTTCTAATAGTTATACTTAATTCCTATTGAGCCCTATTGAAAGTCAGTCCTAATTAAATCATCGTTAAAAATAATTTTTTATGATAATTTTTTGAATGTCGCTAAAAATTGACAATTAATGACTTTCTGTCATGATTTTTATAAATTGTCACTAAAACTTATAATTAGTGATATTTTTCTGTGTTCTGTGACGAATTTTTCAAATTGTCACTAAAATTAAAAATTAATGATTTTTTTTGTGACGATTTTTTTAAATTGTCGCTAAAATTTATAATTAGTAACGGTTTTTTGTAACAAATTTTTTAAATTGTTAAAAATTAATAATTTGTGATTTTTTTAATATTGTTTAATAAAAATGTCATTAATTTTTACAGGACCTATTAGACAATAAGTTTACTTATTAAGATCTATGGATATGTTTTCCATAAAAAATTGGGTTCATTTAGAGTCATTCATGCAAGCACTAAGACCACATTTGGCAACCTTCAGTTTTAGTCAAAAAGTTATTATAAGTTGTCACATCACTTTCTTTACTTTTTTGTATATCATTTTGTAAAAAATTAAAAAATTATTAAAATAGTATGTTCTCAAACGAGGTTTTATTGATGGGATTTGAGATTAAACTTTATAAATATGTAGAAGAGTGGGCTGCTATTTATTGATAGATTGCGAAACAAAAGGGGAAGATAGAGTAGAGCAAGAATAAAGTAAGTGATGCAGAATTTCGAATAACTGTTATTATGTTCTTTCAAATTTATTTCTCAAATTCAATATTAAAATTTATATCTAAACTATCGTATTTAAATTGTTATTCTTTTTGAATAATTAGTACTCAATCATTTTATTTCAAATTCATAAAATCCAAACACAACATAAGGAAATAAGATTCTCTTGGTGATGATTTAGATTTAAAAAAATAAATAAATAAAATAAAAAATTGCAGGCATGACATGTTCAACAATTGTTGCCCAAGATGCATGAAGTATAGTTTCACATGCCTTTTATATTGTCAGAAGTGCCAAATTTTTCAATGTCCATTTGATCAAAGTTGATTTCATATTTTTGTATCCAAAACACATGAGCTTCCACATTCTTATATCTATCTAAACATGAAGAAAACATTAACAAAACTAAATACCTGCACTATACATCTACATATGAAATATTAAATATAAACAAGAAACATAATATAGTCAGAGATTCTTTGTTTAAGATCTTTTTTATATAACCATTAAAAAGAAAGTCTTGTTTCTCTAAAGATTAATATAAAAATAACATTATCACATCATTTGTGTAGCTTTTTTTTTATTATTGTATAAATTTTTGAAAAATTTACGTATAAATCTCATTTTGAGGAATGGTGACTTTTTGTCTTTTTGGACTAAAAAATTGAGGTTGAAAATATGGATGTTTGGGTTAACTTTTTGACTTTTTATTGAAAAATGTGTAATAAAAAATTGTAAAAATTGATTTGTAAGGAAAATTTTGAATTGGGAGTTGTGCAGCCGTAATTGTTGACTTTTGGTGAATAGTGTTAACTTTTTAATTTTTTGAGTAACTTTTTGACTTTTTGACTTTTTTGGAACATCCCAAACTTGGCCTTAGTCTTAAAAAAAAATTATAGACCAATTAGTCCTATTGATTTTGAAAAGGTAAATTTAATATATTATTTAAAAATTAAATTTACGGTTATACCCTTATTTCTATTATGTTCTTTTTCTTTTTTTTCTTTTGTGCTAGAAAGATAGGTATACAATATATGAGAATCAAATTTGGGATGAATTTTTATATAAAAAAAAAATTTATTTAGAAAATCTTTTAAAAGGAATACAAAAATAATTTAAAATATGAGATTATTCAAACATTTCAAAAGGATGTAGGATTTTTCAACTATTTCAAAAGCAGTTCAAAAACTACTTGGTAAATTTTGGCCAAATATATAATTTTAAACTGTAATACTCTAATGTAACACTCAAGCGTAACATTAAAAAAAAATCTTAGTGTAATATCCTAATATAACACATTAAAAAACTCCTTAGTATAACGCTCTAATGTAACACACCAAAAATTTCTTTATTGTAACACTCTAATGTAAAAAAAAAAAAAAAAAAAAAAAAAACTCCTTAATATACTTTTTCCAAATGTAACATTCCAATCCATGTAATCCTAAATGTAATACTCCAATGTAACATATAAATGAGAATAAAATATGCCTAAATTTCACATAGTTTCACACACCTTTTCCCTTTTCCTTTCCAAATCCCTCCCCAGATCCCCCAACCAAACACAGCATTAGTGTAATTTTCCCAAACGTAACACTCTAATATAACACTCCAAAAAAAACTCCTTAGTGTAACACTTTAATGTATCACACAAAAAAACTTTTAGCGTACTTTTCCCAAATGTAACACTGGGGGTGTTTGGTAGGGCTTTTTTGAGCCAACTTATGGCTTTTGGCTTTTAAAAAGTTATTTTGAACTGTTTGGTTAAACTTATTTCAAACAGCTTCTGATTCTAACAGCTTATTTTAAGTCAAAAAAACTGATTCTGAGAAGCTGCTCACCCCTTGCTTCTGATTATCAGCTTCTGCTGTGGACATGTTAATTCACGGTTATACTCTTAGATTTTTTTATTTTTTATTTTTTTAAAAATAGAAAAAGACCCAAATAGGCTATAAAATATTATTATTATTTTTTATGAAAAATGTAGACAAATAGTGAATAATAAAAAATAAAAATTAATTGAAAAAGCTACTTCACAGCTTATTTAACAAACACTACTCAGCAACTTAAATCTATAATCCAACAGCTATACCAAACAGATTAACAGCTTCTGATTAAAGTCATAATCTATAATCTGTTAAGCTATAATCTATAATCTGTTTTAATAGCTACACCAAACAGCACCACTCTAATATAATATTATAAAAAAACTCATCAGTGTAACATTCTAATGTAACACACAAAAACACTCCTTAGCGTACTTTTTCCAAATGTAACACTTCAATATAACACTCTAAAAAAATTTCTTAGATTAACACTTTAATGTAACACAAAAAAAAATTATTTGGTGTATTTTTTCCAAACGTAACGCTCCAATGTAATAAAAAAAAAATTCAGTATATTTTTTCTGAACGTGACACTCCAATGTAATATTGAAAAACAAAAGAATGTGAGATTCTTCAAACCATTTCAAAAGGAGTACAAATATTCCATAGTAAGTTTTGGACAAATGTATAATTTCAAAATTGTGAGTGTTACGATTAGAAAAAATACACTAATGAGTTTTTTTTAGTGTTTTTGTGTGTTACATTGGGATCTGTTACATTAGAATATTATGTTTTGAATTACACTTGGAGTATTACGTTTAGAAAAAGTACACTAAAATTTTTTTTTTAGTTACGTTAGAGCGTTACATTTGAAAAAGTACACCAAATAGTTTTTTTTTAGTGTTGTGTTGTTACGTTTGGCAAAAGTATACCAAGAAATTTTTTAGTGTGTTACATTGAAATATTATGTTATTGGAGTGTTACATTAGAGTGTTAGGTTTTTATTCATAACGTGGGATTTGTTTTAGAATGAGGGAAGATCCAAAATTTCTATAGTGCAAATTGTCCAAATATGTAATTTATATTTTGAGAAATCTACTTTTATCTCTAAAAAATTAAATTCAAATATGAAAGTGACTATCATTTTATATAATTCCCAGTTTAATAAGATATTTTGATTCATAAGGGAAAAAAAATTAAACAATTTATAATATCACATTTTCTAATTTGTTAGTGTTTTACCCTAAATTTTTTGTAATATATAAATTCTTTACCAACTAATTCACATGACATGCCATTGGGTTATGAGCCTCTTTTTTTTCTTTTCTTTTTTTATCTTTTTCTTTCCATCTTTGTTCCTTTAATCTCCCCCCATTAAGGAAGCATGTTGGGCTGTTTTCTCTCTAACTTTTTGACTTAAGAGGCAAGTATGTTTTTTGATCATATAGCTTTTACATTTATGGGGAGGAAAAGGCCAAACATATGCTCAAGTTTGCTGAATTATTATGCTGACGAGTTTGATTCCTCTGATTTCCCAATAGGACAAAAGAAAACCTCATTTTCTTTCAGAAATAATCATTGCAAGGCTTTGATTTTCTCTGTTTTGCTGATGGGATTTCAAGCCAACTTGCCTTTAAACTACTACTTTGTGCCTTACTTGGTCAAAGTTTTTATTTTTTTTTTTATTTTTTATGTTATATTTGGATTTTAGATTTATAGAAAATGAATGAAAAAAATAGGAAAATTATATTTAACTCTTATCACTTCATTTTCTCCTAATCTTTTTCATTTTTTTTAATAATATTTTTATTTATAAATTTATAATTCAAACATAATATAATAAACTCATTGTACACTTAAAATGTTCATGATATTATTTCAAAAAATGTTGGGCAGCTATATCAACACAGTGGTTAAAAAAATAAAGATGAGAGTCTTATTATGCGTTAATTGTCAAAAAATTTATGTTGATGTAAAAACACTCGAACTTGCAAATGATTGTGCATATCTAAAATTTATTCATAAAGCCTTATACACAACGGCATGCTCTTCGAGTTTTCCGTCATCAGAGAAGAAGGGGCAGCTTAAAAGCACTACTTTTAGTCCTTTAAACTCGAGAACAGCACAAAAATGACATAAATGATTTATTTCTCAAGTTTGTTAAAGAACAATGTTATTCAATCTCATTCATTGATTGAAGCATATTATAAGGAAAATTGTTACTCATTTACAAGGAAACAAAAACAAACTCTCAAACAAATTCTCCAAGTGATCTCTTCATCATTGACCAATTACAGTTACAGAATAAAACCCACAATAAATAAAAGTAGAAGCAAAAAATTAAAAATAAATAAATAAGAATTGAATGAGGAGATAAACTGATCTCTTCTGAATTACCCATAATTCCGTTACATGGGTGCTAAATATTATGATTCAGTAGCCTTTTCTATTAGTTTTTCAGGCCAAAGTTTTCAGCATTGGATCTTCCCCTGTATGGATATGAAGCTTTGGGGCATTGTATTTCACCTGTTTCACCATGATCAGTTAATCTGTCCAACTAGAACAGGGTCTCCAGGTTGGCATGATTGCAGGAAGAGAAGCAGAGACACTGGCATTAACAGATCCACGGCTTGTTCAAACACGCCAGCTTCTATCATAACGCTTCAAAGTTCCTATGCTTTGTTTGCAGAAGCTGCTTTCTACCTTGATCAACACCCTATAAACTCGGTTTTTTCATAGCCCCAGATCAATGACCACTGATACCTGCCGCTCCAAGAACCCTCCCCTTTCAGCAAACCCAAACTAGACTTAAATTGAAATTCCGTAACCAAGACGGGTAAGTGAACTCTAGAACCCGGGAAGAACCAACAAGCATTTACTGCAAAAAGATAGAGAGAAACCAAATCAGGTGGACGTATAAAGGAGAGAGAGAGAGAGAGAGAGATCATACACTAGCCTTAAGTTTGCTAGTAATTTTCCACATTTCAAGTCAATTAACTGAATTCTAAGAAAAACAAAATGTGTTTGATTCATTGCATTATTATTTTCCTTGTCAGTGAGGTAGATATAGCATATTTGTTACATAGACATATTAACAGGCCACAAATTCTCTGAAGACTGACTGACTAACAACAATGAACTCAGTAAGGAACAAACTATGATTGCTTGCAAGAAGCACTCACATCAAAGCTAATTTACACTACCTAACCCACATGGATTTGAAACTTTCAAATCATACCTAATGAAAAACAAACCTAATGAAAAAAAGGTATAAATTTGCACAGATGTGAAACTTTCATCTGTGCAGAAGAACATTGTCTTCGAGTGAAAGTCCAGTTCTTGCTAGCATAATTCCAAGAGCGATTTCATATACTAAACGGGACCTAGTGTTGAAGCAATGAAGCAATTGCTAAAGGCAGCGCATTCACATTACAGACACAAAGCGGTTTCCATAGGGAAACCATAATGAGGTGAGATGAGCACTGCTTATGGAGCATTAACAGTGTCCATTAATGAGGATATACTAACTTCTTGTTTTGTCTTTAGACCCACAAGAAACTAAGCACTAGAAATTGATTAGTTGATAACTATAAAATGCGACAAACAACCAGGTCATATCAAAACCGATCAAACTGTAACAAACAAGAAGACAAACTCCCAGACATTTCAGGTGAACATTCCCTGAAACAATGCTTTAAACATTCGCCACTTAGCAACTGTGACAGAGCAGCAAAAGGTACCAATATGGGGTCCAAGCAAGCATATTTGACACACTCTGTGGCAACATAAATGTTTCATTACAAAACAAGAAAGGGCAAAAAAAAAAAAAAATGCATTAACGACAGTATGACGAGAGAGAGACAAAAGGAATACAACTTTTTTTTTTCTCCTGTTATTTAGAGTAATTAAAGAAGCATGCTAATAGCACAATGGAGAGTACTTGTTATCTAAGCAATCATCAAGAATACGTAGGCATGAGTGATTACACAGCAAATGCAGCAAATTAAACGCTAAACCAAAGAAAACAATAGGACCTTTGGATTTTCAGTACAGTCGCAATACGCTCCTCGCAATTGAATATGAGTTATTCGGTTTGTTCTTCACCGGTCCAGCTCTTCGATTGCTGCTCCTCATGGGCGTCAAGTAGAACCTCAAGAGGCCATTTTCAATGTCGTTTGGGGAGTACCTAGCGCTCCGATTACGCTCCAAAACAAAATCATCTCTCTTCTTTCTACCATGCCCATTGGTCTCAATACTCTGCTTTCTCACACTTCCAAATGATCCACCATTGCTATAAGAAGTCCTCGAGCTCACACTACTATTACTTCGAAACACCTTTCTGCTTAATCCCCCTCTCACATCACCATTACTTTCCCTCCTAAACTCTTGCCAAGACTCCGAAAACGATCTCTCAACCCCATTTCCTCTACTATTATTATACCTGTCTTCCTCCTCATCTTTGCTACCTCCATTTCGCCGGTGTATAAATCCCCAAATCTTACTCCACCGGCGAGACTTCTTCAAACCCTTTCCTTCCCCATTCCCAATCACAGAAGCATTGTCCCTAAAACCCAATTCAAAGGTCTCAGAACAGTCATCTCTCAAGGAATTCGAATTCAAGTCCCTCAAATCTCTCTCACCCACCAACAATTTAGTCCCGTGAATGTAATCAATTGTCGCTGGAGACACTTTAGCATTCGAAACAGCTTTCAATTCTTCGTTCTCCGCCACCATCTTCTTCATTGAGTTAGACCGGTCCAAGCTCTTCCTCCGCCGCGAGGACGAGTCAGAGTAATACTCCCGAGTTTGTACAGACCCACCAGGGATTGGTTCGTTCTCATTGATACAATTCATGGGTTCTTCGATTGGAATTTGATTATCAGACCTCGAAACGAGACCCACCGGAGAATCCTCCACCACCGAGAGCATCGGTGGAATCCGAGGAAAGCTCCGGCCGATCAAATACCCATCCCAGGAAGCTCTAGGCTCGTCGAAAGAGTACCGAGGATCGGCGTCGAGGGAGAACCGAGGATCGGTATCGCAGGATCGTCGGCCGAACCCGTAATCGGCGATTTCCGACTGGGTTTCACGGTACTGCCGCGAAATGGGCTTCTCTACGGGCAATGCCGCCGATTCTCCGCCGGTATTTCGCTTCTTGAGCTTCTGCTTTTGCCTCCAATTGTGCCATTTCTTGCTGAATACCGAAGCAGCGGACCAGAAACCTTTGAAATCCATGCCAGAGGGCTTCTTCGCCTGTGAATCGAGATCTATGTGGTCCTTCATTGTCTTGATTTCCTCTTCATCATCTCTTTCTTCCACAAAATTCGCTACATTTGGCTCCTCGGAGACCAAAATTTCATCATCATTATCATCGTCGTCGTCGTCGCCGCCATTGTCGTTCTGGTCCTCCTCTTTGGACTCAAGCACTGGACCAGTTAGGGTTTTAGGTTCAACTTCAATGGACTCAATGCTGAAGAGAGACCATAGAGTGTTCCGAGCCCTAACATCACATGACTTGCGTTGGGGCTCGAATACTCCAGAAAAGCCCTCGTTTTTCGAGGCGGAGAACGACTTCGTGCGGCGGAGCTCCGGGAAGAAGGAAGAAGAGGGTTTGGTGGGGACTCGGAAGATGGCTTTAATTGCGGCGGCGGCGGCGGAGGAAGGGGCCGCGGCGTTGGAGGGGCGGCGGGAGGAGGAGGCGGAGGAAGGGTCGAGGGTTACGAGGCGCTCGCAGAGGCATGAGGGGCAGAAGCCGGTGAATTGCTCGGTTGGGTGGCGGTCGCAGCTGAAGGAGGAGCGGTGGGGCTGCAACGGCGGCGGCGGTGGTGGTTGTTCGGTGCTGGGATTCATTGCCGGCGGTGGTGGACTCCAATTCCCACTCTGCTCATGTTAATGCATTGAGAGAGAGAGAGAGAGAGAGAGAGAGAGAGAGAGAGATTTGGGTTCCAATGGAGTGAGAAAGAAAGTGAAAGAAAGTAGAGAGAATGGAAGAGAAAGAACGAGAAAATATATAGGAAAAAAGGAAAAGGAAAAGGAAAAAGAACATTTTCTCTCTCACTTGCTAGGGCTCCACTTTTCCGTTAAGATGCTTTTCTTTTTCTGCGGGCACCCATGTATGAAAGTACGAATTTACCCTTTATGTATTCCTAGAGAGAGAGAGAGAGAGAGAGAGAGAGAGAGAGATTTGGGTTCCAATGGAGTGAGAAAGAAAGTGAAAGAAAGTAGAGAGAATGGAAGCGAAAGAACGAGAAAATATATAGGAAAAAAGGAAAAGGAAAAAGAACATTTTCTCTCTCACTTGCTAGGGCTCCACTTTTCCGTTAAGATGCTTTTCTTTTTCTGCGGGCACCCATGTATGAAAGTACGAATTTACCCTTTATGTATTCCTACAATCAAGTTTTAGGCCTCGTTTTTATAATAATTTTTTTTGATCAAAATATCTAGTTTTCAAAGTTTAAGAATGACTTTAATGAACGAAATTCAAAAATGAAGTTTAAGAACGATTTCTAAGGATAACTATGGCCGAATTAATTTGAATTGGGGTAAAATTGAGACCAATTCATTATCTATGATTTTTGAAAAATTGAAACCTAGGACTGAGTAAGAAATTCGTATAATTCGTAATTCGATCCGGTCCAATCTAATCCATTAGATTTGGATTGATTTTTTGAATTCGTGGTTCGGTTCCATATTGGAAATTTAAAAATCCGTATGTCACGGATTGGTTACGGATTGAAACCGATTCGGACCGTATACAAATAATCTATATTTATAATATAGACCCTCCTACATAATATCATTTCTTGTTCCATATAAAAGCTAAACCCTTATTTCATGTTTGTTGCTGTGTTGTTGCTGTGCTTTTGTTTGTTTGTTGTTTCTGTTCATGGAGTTTTGTTGCTTTTTTTTGTGTTAGCAAAAATCTGGTTTGGGTCAAATTGATAGAGAAACCAAAATTTTACTTGTGGTTGGTGTCCTATACCTGGACAGATTCAAGGGCTTCTTTGGAGGTAATTGATAGAAATGAACAAATTAAAAACTAATATTGTATTGTTGAAATTGTTACTTGTTACAGAGATTTGAACAAGAACAAGAACAAAAACAAAAACAAAAACAAAAACAAAAACAAAAACAAAAACAAAAACAAAAATAAAAACAAAAACAAAAATACAAAAGAACCAGGAAAAAGTTTACTAATTACAAGAATCAGAAAACTATCAAAGAAACACTAAATTAAAACTACTCCTAGAGAGAATAAACTACTCCTATAATATGTTAAAGTAATCTACTCCTAATTGAACTCATATTGAGTGTTGATGATTGATTCTCTACTGCTCGTCTTCTTCTAGTCAATTTATAGGCATTGATCTTCGAGCAACTGCACCAAGGCAGTTTTCCAATCCATATGCAAAGTTAACAGAAATTACAACTCCCTCATTTGTGCCACACGTTTGCAGCTTGACTTTTTGTGTCCCCTTTCGGAAGATGACTAAGTCCTACAGTATCGGACTCCCACAGTTCTGAATCTGATTCCACAAGTTCAATGTGAAATAGATAAACACCAAAGAGTCTCAATCCAACAAATCCTTTGAAAAATCGATTTTGAATCAAAAATGCCAAAAATGAACTGATTTGTCAGATACAGAGTCACCACCTAAATATTTTTTGAAAAATTTAGGAAACCCATGACTCGTGCCAAAGGCCACGTGTCCGTCATCACCAAGATTGTCTTGACTCAGGAACTTAAGTACGAGAAGGGAAGGTCATGAATTAAGCACCCCCGCTCGCCCGATTAAAGATTGGCATCTACTAATCATGATATGAATCTTATATACATTATATGCTCTTGTTCCATTTATTAGGCTACCATTACTATGTGATGTGCATACACACAAGTACAGACTAAATTACAAGAATTGAAACATTTCGATCTCATGTTTGTTTTTGAAAAGAGTTTTGAATATGTACCACTTGAAAAAGTGATCGCATAAGAACATTTACTTAAATTATTTCAATTTAAGCAATTAGCCTTTATCCACAAGTATTCAAGTAATTCATCAATTAAGCATTTAGCCTCATGGCAAACATGCTAGACATGGCAACAATCACACTCATGCAATATGCTAAAGCGAGTAAAGGCTTACCTAGTACTCCAAACCAAAAAGATGAAAGAGTTAGGAAAAATGCATGATCCTAACTGTGCAATATGACTAATGCAACACAAGTGATATATGCAATTACTAGGCTCGGCTATTAATACGGCATATAAATCAATTTGATAGCATATAGTTTAAACACATTTTCAAAGAATTATTTAAACTAATAATGCAAGTTAGAATGATGAACTAAGCCTCAGTGCATGCAATACAAATGGATGCAAACATGAAGTATGTTAAATAAAACATGATGTCCCTAAACTAACCATCATAAGCTAGTAAATAAAAAGGAGAAAGACGTGGGGTTGAAAGACATACACATTATTACAACATTGCACTCTCACGAATGAACGAACTAATTACCTAAACTAATTAACTAGCTATTACAACAAATGAATAATTAGCTAAACTACTTAACTAATTATTACAAACCGAATTAGTTAATTAATTAACTAATCTAGCTAATTAACTATTCTAGCTAATTAAGATAATTACAACACAAGACAAATTAACTATTCTAACTAATTAAGTACAAAGCCACTAGTTTAAGCACAACACTAATATATACAACACGGCTCCCGAGGATCGATGGAAGGCTCATGCATGGATGCGGTTTTCTCTCGAAAAAGGCCACTGTTTCTGCTGCTAAATGCCTCTGTTGCACAGTAGAACACTTGCACCAATTTCTACCTCCAAACCAACTTTGCTCCGCTGGGGGAGTACACTGCTGGATTTTTCATTGGAGGTCGGCAAAGGGCCTGTCGTCCACTGATGTGGCCTACCGGCCGCTGCTAACTGGACTTCCCTGCTGCAATAGAGAGCAAATAGTGCAGAGACAGTGTATTCTCAAGGGTTTGATTGCACAATTTACCCCTCCTTATCATTTGAATAGCTCAACGGAGTTTTAAGTTTGGTTCACAAACCATCAATCTATGCAATTTTATTGCATGATGGCCTATGAACCAAAGTGTGCAAGTTCAATAAATGCAACAAAATGAGACTCTCAAAACCACCTCCCTGTCATGAAAGATCAAGGGAAGGAGTTGACAATGAATCTTGAACCATTTTCATCACTAAAGAGTATGAAACAACTCAAGACTCAAGGGTTCAATTAACATCCGATTGAACCCAAACAAGTTATTATCTTACACCTTTTTTAGCCTCAATTTTATTAATCCATTTTAATTACCAACCATTCTTTAACCAATTAAGTTCAAAGGGTGAATTTAAGTCCTCTAATGTAAAGAGGGCTCAAACTAAGAGTTGCTTTGGGCATGAAAGAGACATCATACCGTTGGTAATGAACCCCCAAAGGGATTAAACCATTAAGCATGACATCTTAATCTCATGCTTAAACAAACAAGTAATTTGAAACCACTTTCAAAACAAAGTAAAAACCAAGAAAGGAGGGAGGTTGCAGAGGTGATTAAGAGTGATCACAAGTATGGAAAGCCATAAATAAATACAATCAACTCAAATAAGATGGTGTCTAATGTCTAAAACACCAAACTCGTTTGAACAATTACACTACAAGCATGTAAAACAAAGCTCAAATGCAACAAACACTTAGAAATAGTCCTAAAACAGCCTAAAAGTAGTCCTAAAACATACTGAAATTAAGACAAAAAATGGCTAGATTAATAAGCTAAAACATGGATCATGCTAGGCTAGTAAACAAAACACAAGGAGAGAAGGCTAACCCCTCTAATTTTGGACTTCAAAACATGATTTTAGTCACTGAAATAACTCTAAAAATTAGTGTTTAAAATCTCAAAAAAGGATAGTGTAAAGGTGGGAAACACAAGGGTAAAGGCTTTGAAAGCAAGGTGTAAAGAAGGGTGAACTACCCCTCAACCTTTATTGGCCTTAAAACCCAAGTTTCAACCAAAAAATACAGAGTTTTTATAGCCCAAAAATAGTTGGAAAATAGCAAGAAAAAGTGTGACTACAACAAGCAAAGAGGCAAAGCTTTATACTTCTTGAAGAGGAGAACCAATTCTAAGCAATAAAACAAGACCAAACATCCTCAAGAACTCAAATAAGGCTCTGAGATACCTCAACTCAAAGATGAAGAGGTTTTGTTTAGAGTGTATATGCAAATGTGAAGAGTGTATAAACTATGGTTAAGAAATTTACAAGAGAGAGAGAGAGAAAAGAAAAAATTTGCTTCAAAATTTTTCTAACCCCAAAGCAAGAGGGGAGGCTCTTTATATATAGAAAACATGAATCTCCCTCATAAACATCTAGCCATACACGTGGAAGTAGATGCATGCATTTATGCAAACAGCTGGCACAACTGTCACAAAATATCTGCAAGACACTGGTGGCTGGCAAGCCACATCAGTGGTCGGTAACCAAGAGTGATGGTCGGCAGCCCAAAGTAGTGGTCGGCAAGCCACCAGAGGTTGTAGGCTTGAAAATCCAAGGTTTGGTCCAAAAACAAGGAAACGGAGATGCAAGGTTTGAAAGACTCAAAGGTGTGGCATTTCGCTGAAGACTTCGAGCACTTGACAAGCATATGCATTCATCATCGAGTGTGCAAGCGATGACGTCCAAGTCGTAAGGGCCGTCAAAAATAAGGTATCTACAACGTTGTACCACCTACTAGCCCACTATTTGCAAAGTTGTTGTGTGTGTCCTGCATTTCAATAAAAAAAACAATAATAATAATATAAATATAAATATAAATATTTTTATAAATATATGTGGCCATAATTTTATGTTAAAAATAATTTATGATCTAAATCGACAAACCAAAATTGACAGGCCATAATCAATGAAATTAGATTTGGCTATAATCGACAAGCCACCATAAATTAAACGAGAC